TCTCCCCATATCACTAAAAGGGATCACCCGAGCGATATCCACAAAAAAAAGTGCTCACAAAGGGGGCTAGAGACCAAGACAAAATCCACATACGCTCACTAAGCTTGTCTCATAAAGTTGTGATCTTTCCTGGTAGATTGAATCACAGTTAAAGAAGTGTATTATGAATAGCCATCAAGTCGCACATGGTGAGTCAATCGACACAATTAAAGGAGGCCACCATCACCAACCCCTGAACTTTCCTTAACCACGACACAAAGAGCTTCTATGGTTAAAGTAGTAGAAACAATCTAGAATAAAGACTTATTCAAAAGGCACCACCAATAATGATGAGAGGATACCTCTGAGGCCGCACAAAATATTATGCATATAGTAAAGATCACTGACATGATATGGAAGAATGCAGAAAACTCTGAATTCGATTGTGGAGCTAATCAAAGCTACGAAGCTTAAAGAGTTTTTTACCTGAGCCAGTGACTCAGTGGTCGGGAAAGGCGTTGGTCGAAAGAAGCCTCAATAAACTTGCTCAGATTTTGTCCACTCACATTACGGGTGTCGTACTGACCATATATGTAAGAGATGTCAAAGGCGCCTAATGGGCCAACTTAAAGAGACTCTTCTCAGAACTTTTTTCTGGATACTAAACTTCATGTCACACCTCACAACACCAACAAATTTTCTTCAATAATCAAGACTTTTCTGCCAAAGTAAATCCCTATAGTAACACCATAATTGTTATCTCACTAACTGTTAAATTCCAAATAGACAACAGAATCATTATAAACATCATCTTAATGTAGTTCTTTGATAAGATGGGTTTGGGCACCACTTGCCTTTGCCCACTGTTGGGCTGCTCTTATGGTTTTCAGGGTGAAAAGAAGGAAGTGCTTGGAACTCTCACCCTATCAATCACTTGGGGTAATGTGATAAGAACTTTTCATTCAATAATAAATTTCATCCTAGTGGACTCACCATCAACCTACTTGTATGTCTTTACTTAATGCCTCCTGATACTCCAAAAATATATGCATTATTAGTCTCATATTTTATACTCATTTTTGGTGATATTGCACTTTCATGGAATTTATTTTTATGTTTTCTTGCAATTTGTTGAAGTTTAGGACTTGAAACAAAAAGGATGAAATTTGGAGCAAAAATGAAGAACTTGAAAATTTGTTCAATGCCGACGGCGCCAGAAGCAACGCTGACGGTGTCGTTTGACAGAGAGTAGCTAATTAAATTGCAGAACACTGGCACCGACGGCGCCAATGTCGGTTCAGCC